TATGTTGCAAAATGAGACATTTGTTCAGTGACTTTGGCCCCGTTTATTTTCTTGTTAACTGAATCCCTGCAATTGTTTAGGAACACCATTGTTAAGCTTTGCTTGTCGGAAGGCCCCCAAAGGGGAGGATCACATGATCCCAGGACTCGGCAACCGTTATAAATATATGAGTCCATGGCCGAGTGTCTGAATTTTGATCACATGACCACGGAGAGGCTGCGACGGTCGTAAGTCTGAAAAACGATCGCGAGTTGCTTTTTTTTTATTATTGCCGTTGTAACTTTGAACGTTCCCTAAGCGAACTGTTGTAAATTGAGGACTGGCTGTACTTCTTAAGCGGCAGAGCCTTAGTTTCAATTAACCCATCACCCAGAAGTGCCGTCTGTTTGAATATGATTTACAGATTAGGCAGCTTACGAAACTACACAAACAAGCGCCAACAAATTTAGCACGCAACCTTTTATTGATGGAATAGAATTAATAAGTGGATTGAAGGCGATTCCTCGGATGCCTTTAACATTGTCCTGTAATTTGGTACCACAGTGGCACCTTGGTACCCAACTGCTCTGAAACTCAGCAAATGGGTTTGGCCAGTCTAAAGAAAAGAAGAAATAGGGGAGACACGATGGCCGTATTCCAGGATCTGAGGGGCTGCCCCAAAGAAGAGGGTGGTCACATTATTCACCAGAGCACCAGAGGGTAGGACGAGAAACAATGGTTGGAAATTGATCAAGGAGAGAAGCAACCTGGAATGAAGGAGAAACTTCCAAACAGTGAGGACAATCAACCAGTGGAACAGCTTGCCTCCAGAAGTTGTGGGTGCTCCATCACTGGAGATTTTTAAGAAGAGACTAGACAGTCACTTGTCTGAGATGGTATAGGTTGTCCTGCTTCAGCAGTGGGCTGGAGTAGGACCTCCAAGGTCCCTTCTAACTTCTATTCTGTTCTGTTCTGTTCTGTTCTAATCTATTCTATTCTATTCTATTCTCTATCATCTATTCTTTCTCTATTCTATTCTCTATCATCTACTCTATTCTAATTCTATTCTATTTGAATTCAAATTCATATCCATATCCTATTCTATTCCTTATTCTATTCTATTATTCTATTCTATTCCATTCCATTCTATATCATCTATTCTATTCTATTCTCTATCACCCATTCTATTCTCTATCATCTATTCTATTCTCTATTCTATTCTTTATCATCTACTCTATTCTAATTCTATTCTATTCTATTTGAATTCAAATTCATATCCATATCCTATTCCTATTCTATTCCATTCCATATTCTATTCTATTCCATATTCTATTCTATTCTCTATCATCTATTCTATTCTCTATTCTATTCTCTATCATCTACTCTATTCTAATTCTATTCTATTCTATTTGAATTCAAATTCAAATTCATATCCATATCCTATTCTATTCTATTCTATTCTACTCTATTCCTTATTCTACTCTACTCTACTCTATTCTGCTTGTTGGAAGATCGCAAAAGGGGATCGCATGATCCGAGGTCACTGCAAATGTCACAAATATGCGCCAGTTGCCAAGCATCTGAATTTTGACCTCTGCGATCACGGGGATGCTGCAAAAGTTGCCAGTGTAAAAAAAAAAAAAAGTCGTAAGTCACTTTTTTTCCAGTACTATTGTATCTCTGAACGGTCACTAAATGAACCGTTGTAAGTTGAGAACGACCTGTATGGAGAAATAAGCCGCCCGTGGAGCTAACCAGGTCTGGTGAACCCAAAGCAACTCTCAGTGTCTCCTCGATTTCGCCACCTAGAACCAGGAAATAATTCCGACTGCCGGAAATAACTCCTAACTGCAGTGGAAGGAAAGGATTTGACAACGTACGGGAAAAAAATTCCAGAGACCGACACATCCAGCAGGATGCGAAGCAGCACATTTTTGTGAATTCGTAAGCGGCTGAAAGTCACGGGTTCAGCCAAACGCCTTTCCAGGATGTTGCAAATTCTTGCCTAGTTTTAAAATCTTCCCAACATTGGACAAGAAGCTTAAAACAACAACAACAACAACAAAAGACCTGCACCCAGGAGGATTCATCAAAAGGAGATGTGCACAACTGCATCGCCTCCATTCAATCCTTGGCTCCTCTGGATGTCCTCTGGACGTCCACTCCAGGGGCAAGAGGACCACAGGAGGAGAGTGGGACAAGGTGGACTATCTACAAGAGGTCTGAAACCACCATGAGCTCCTGCAACAGCGGAAGGGATGAACCCCGCTGACTTTACAAGTGTTCAACCTCGTCCACTTTTCAGACTTGTGGACTTCAGCTCCCAGAATTCCTCCAGCCAACATGGTTGGGAGATCTCAGGATTTTAGACCCAGAACAAAAACCCCGATTGAATGAATACCTCAAGCCGTGCCGGCTGCGGAATTCTGGGAGCTGTCCACCGGTCTAAAAAGTGGGTACCCCTGTTTTAGAGTTGAGCTGAACAACTTCCCATGTGTTTTCGCTTGGAGCAAGCCACCCAGGGGTGGGTGAGCAGCTTCGCCCCCCAATGTCAAGTTCCCAACTTGCCTGTTTACAGAAAGGAGAGAGAGAGAGACAGAGAGAGAGTGTGTGAGAAAGAGAGAGAGAGAAAGAGAGGGACAGACAGAGACAGAGAGAGAATTGCATGCATGCATTTGGCTTGAATTAGAGGCCGTTTCCTTGCTGGAACACATCTGCAAGCTGCAATAATAAACTGCTGTTAAGCATGGCTGAGCATCAGACAGGGGGAGGGGGGACAAGCAGAGGCAGCAGCTACAGATGTTCGCAACCACACAGAGCACAGGCAGGCTCCAAAATGGGACTTCTAGGGCAAGCAAACCTGCAATGCAAAACTCAAATGGCCGGGAGATATGGAATATATAACATTTAACTTTCTGCTACCCCCTAATAGGTGTCTGGATTTTTGTCCCCTCTGACATCCTAGACAAGACCATATCCTAAATCAACCCCCTCTTGACTTTGCTAGTCAAAACATCGCAAAAGGGGATCACGTGTGACCCCGGGGACGCCACAACCGTCGTAAATATGAAGCCGGTGGCCGAGCATCTGAATTTTGATCACGTGACCATGGGCATGCCGCAACGGCCCGTAAGGGTGAGAAAAAGTGTCTATCGTTTTTTTCCCCCCAGTGCATTGTAACTTTAAATGGACTGTGGTAAGTTGCAAGCAAATGGTTAACTGAGGCACACAGGGTTTCTTTCCTGGGCTCAGATGCTATTGTTAAAACCAAAACAAGTCAAAAAGGAAGGAAGGAAGGAAGAGTTGAGGAGCACCAAGATAGTCAAACACTGAAAAGACACCAAATGCAAATAACAACAACAACAATAATATAACAAAATACAGCGATCTGCAAATGCAAGCTAAGCAATTGTGGAGGAAGAAATAAATCCCTAGATACATGGAAATTTTGAACTTATTCGATTTGAATCTTCTGACTTTGCCAAAAAAATCACAACAACAAAACACCCCACTCGGAACTGCCGATATAATTCAGACGTTACCTTAACAGCTCTTAGGGTCCTTGGTTAGGACTTGAACTGTTAAGTTTGTACCAGTCCCAGATTGTGAATCGAATTGAAGATGAAACGTTAAATAATGATAATAATAATATTACAGGATTCTGAGCAGCAGAGACAATCATTTGCTTTGGCTGAGAAATATCAGCCCAAGTTGAACATTTGACCTTTGCAATTCAGTAAAAACCCGTGGAAATATAAAAGAGCAAAGGACAAGGGAAGGTTTCAGTTCCTGCCCAAGGGCCACCTTGCTTTTTGGTATTTAAAAAAATAAATAAGAACTTCTCTGCCAAAGACAGGGGAGAAGGCAAGTCTGAGATTGTTTTGGAATTTGTGTGTGTGCCCAGTGCTAGGCAATAATCAACACGCACCCAGTTGACAAGGAAAGCACCATTTGATTAGGAGAGAGAGAGAGAGAGACTGCAAATTAAGGCTAAGAACAATACCCCAGAGCAAAACAGCCTCTGAGATTATATCAATGCAATCAATTGCTGATGCATTGGGGCTTATTATTACATTTAAAGGCGTGAGAGAGAGAGAGACAGAGAGAAGAAGAAAGAGAGGGAGGGAGAGAAGGAGAGATGGAAGGAGAAGAGAAGGGAGAGGAGAGAAGAGAAGAGAAGAGGAGTCACACAACATTTAAGATTTAGTTTCCGGGTTAGTGCAAAACCTGGAAGGGGGCAAATGGCCAGGAAGAGGGGAGGGGAGAGGAGGAGAGGAGGAGAGGAGAAGAGAGAGGAGGAGAGGAGAAGAGAAGAAGAGAGAGAAGGAGAGGAGGAGAGAAGAAGAGAAGAGAAGAGAAGAGTCACACAGCATTTAAGATTTAGTTTCCGGGTCAGTGCAAAACCTGGAAGGGGGCAAATGGCCAGGAGGAGGGGAGATAAAACCCAGAATAATTTCCAAGTCTTGAACACTCTGCTATATATCAACACAGAAGCTCACTGGATCAACACACAACACGGGAACATAGAAAGGGACCTTGGAGGTCGGAGGTTTTCTACTCCAACCCCCTGCTCAAGCAGCAGACCCTACACCATTCCAGACCAATGGCTGTCCAGTCTGTCCAGTCATTGAGAAGATTCTTGGGAAGACGCGTTTAACGATTGCGCAATCCAAGGATTGCACACACACATCGCGGGAGAATGTGGCATTTGCAGTCACTTCTCTTGAAGAAAGGGACAGGAAGGGGACAGCTGACCAGACATGTTGGCTTACGCACACACAATGCCCTACAACTGAACAGGGGCGATTTGATTGGCTGCTGGGTTTCCATCTCACAACTCTTGACGGTCCCTCCGTGGACGTAGATGTATAGACCGAGGTTGCTCTATCAAGCTAAAAGAAGACCCTTGGGTTTGCTTCAACCGCCATTCTTGGTCCCTGCTCTAGACCAGCAACCAAGGGTGGAGGACAGGTAAAATAATACCCTCCCTCCCCCCTCCCAAAATCCCATTTCTTGCTTACCTGGAAGACAAGGTGACAAAGTCGCCGCCGTCCAACAGTCGAATTTTGCAGAACAGCATGCCATTCACAAAAGGCACGGCCGTCAGCTCTTCCAAGGTGAAGCTGATCTGAAACTTGAATTTCTTCTTCTTCATCAAGAAAGCCATGTGGGGCACCTTGCAACCAGGAGAAACGGAGAGTTGTCTTCTCTTTTTTTAAAAAAAAAAGAATGCCAAAAACTAAAAAAAAAAAAAAAAAGGAAAGGAAAAGCAACCGGCAGCTCTAAATATGTTTTTTGCAAAAGGTGGTGATGGAATCTCTCTCTCTCTCTCCCCAGCCTTGCCAACCCAACGGAGAGTTTAACTCAGATGAAAAGGCAGCCTAGTTTTAAATGATGATTTCGCCTCTTTCTTTGGTGGTCTGACCTGGTTATCGGATCAGGGATCGCCAAGAGCCGGGAAGAAACTGAGCCGATTCCAGCTAGGCAAAAAAGCAAGTCAAGTCTTTGGTTCATCTCCAAGGGGGGGGGGGGGGAAACGTAGAAAGGAGAGGGGGGAAATCTTGGAAAAATCCCGGACCTGCGGGAAGCTGGCTGTTCAGAGGTGACCAAAACCAGTTCCTCCAGAGACCTCACTGGGAGGCATGGCTTGTTTCCTTCTCAGCAAAGTGCCAGCCTCTTTGGCTGAAGTCTCCTCCTCTTTATTTATTTCAGCCTAAGGAAAGGAATGGGGAGGTGGTGAGTCTCGGTTCCTCCCTCCGCTCCCCCCACCTCCCAAACTGCCCACCTCCTTATGCGGCCATCCAACTTTCTTCCCTTCTCCTCTGAGAAAAAAAAGAAAAGAAAAAAAAAACAAAGCCCAGTCTTTTTAAATTTTTCACGGGTGCCTTTAAAAAGGCAACCTGCTCCGTTTCTTCCGGGTGCCACTGCCACGTAGGGTGATCTATTCTAGAGGCATGGTTTTGTAAACAGCTCCACCAACGCATGGAATTCATTGTACATATGCAAATACACACACTCACTCACTCACTCACTCACACACACACACACACACAGAGAACTCTTATTTCTTTTACAAAGAAAAGTGCCAAATTTTTCAGTAGCAACATCTATCTATCTATCTATCTATCTATCTATCCATCCATCCATCATCAATCTATCATCTATTTACCTATCTATCATCTATTTACCTATATTTATCCATCTTCTATGTATCTATCAGTATCTATGTATCTATCAATCTATCAATCAATCTATCTATCTATCTATCTATCTATGTCTATCTATCCATCCATCCATCCATCCATCAATCTATCCTCTATATTTATCTATTTATATCTATCTATGTTTATCCATCTTCTATGTATCTATCAGTATGTATGTATGTATTTATCTATCTATCTATGTATATCTATCTATCTATCTATCTATCTATCTATCTATCTATCTATCTATCTATCTATGTGTCTGTCTGTCTGTCTGTCTATCTATTCTAATCTTATATCTATCCATCTATTAGTCCATCTGCTCATCAATCTATCCATCTTTCTATCTCTCATCTCTCTCCTTCGCCTATCTAACCATCTGTCTATTAATCTATCTGTTCATCCATCTACAGTATCAACCTAAAACTTGAGATATACAAACAAAAACGTGTATCGGCTTGCATTATAAAGACACACACACAAAACATACCTCTGTGTCTGTAAAGAAATATAATATGCCTTCTACTTTTTTAGCTATATTCTTTATAGCTGTATTTTTCCTCTGTACTTTTTTAACCAGCTACTGTACCTTCAAAACTCACTTTTTTCCCTACAAAGAAAAATGCAAAGAGATCATTTGCTCCAGGAGTTTAAACCTGATTCCCAGCTTTGCGAGGCCTTATGTTGGGATGGTGAGCTTCTGGGTCTGAATCACCCAGTTCACTCTGTAGAGCAGGAGGTGAGCAACAGATTGTGTATGGTCAGTTCCTTGCAAAAGCACATTTTGATGAGACATTATTGATCTGGAGAACTTTACCCTATTCTACAACTCGAAAATGCTGTTTTTCTGCCTACCCACACTTTTGTTAGAAGTTCAAGGTGACCTTCCGAAGAATGCTTGGCTCTCTAACTCTGCTGCTCAGATCTGAGACAACCTGTCTCACCAGGTGGGGCAGACCTCACACTATATCAGTTACCCATGGAAAACAATGACTACCTTCTGCTGTTCTTCTTCATCATTCTTGGAAGTTGAGGTTCCTCAACAGTCACCCAACCAAACCGTTCTTAGCTTTTCTTCAACCACCCAACGCACCAAGTCCTCCTCCATGTCAACATCCCCGTCGCAGCCTCCACTCCAAAACAAAACAAATGAGGGGTTCTTCCAGGTTTCAAGGGCCAGCTGCCCCATCTTAGAGGACTGAGGCTTAATTGGATGGGTTCTGTACGTCCTGGGTCAATTCTCAAGGGGACGGACAATGGTGTTTTGTGGTACACCGCAATGCTAAATATTGAACCTAATGTGAATTTAAGGGCTACAAGCCTTAAGGCAGTCTTTCTCAACTTCAGCAACCTCAAACTTGCTCAAGAATTATCTGGGACTTGAGGTCCATGCATCTTAAACTTGACAAGGTTATGGAACACTTAGAGATTCTAGCAAAATTTGCAAACCGTACAGTACGCAAACAGGTTGATGTGTACAGAAACCACCATGGTTTGTTCACCTAAGTAAAAACTGTAGGAATGAAGTTCTTTTGGGTCCTACTCTAGCTTCTGGGGTGGGATTTGAGCAAATAATGGGAGTCCCTCCATTCAGACAATCTGGAGGGAGAATCAGTGAAAACTGATCAGGCATGACTTAATGACTTAACCCTGAAAAGTATCCTAGTTATTCATTCTTGCTTTGTTAAATTGGTTGGATTAAGTTTTTTTTAAAAAGGGAAAACAAATAAGTCATATAAGTCTCAAGACAGCTCATCCTCCATGTCTCTTTGTTTGCAGATCCTAAGCAAGTGGATAAAAACCTGAACGTTCAGAAACAACTCCTCGTTTATAACCAGGTCCATGTGCAGTCGTCTCTGCTCCACTTTTACGACAGGCCGAAACACAACAACAAAGACAGGTATCAAGAGAAGCAATTTCGGTTGTGTTGCAATCCGTAGCTTGTTCTCTGGGGAATAAATCCTGGTGCTAATTCCTGGATTAAGGTGTGGGGCATTGCAAGTTTACCCTGTAATCTTAAATGTGCTAAGAAACAAGTGTGGGACCGTTTCCCAAACATTCAAGAGATTGCACAATCCCCTTGTAACAACAAACACCAGAACCAGTAACACCTTAAAAAAACTGATATTTACACAACAACAAATTCTCAATACACAATCCGAAGCCAAGCACTTGGATTCTGTAGAAGCGTGCAAAGAGATGGAAAGAGTTTGTTTTTTTTAAAAATTTAGAGACACCTGTATGCAGGTAAACTGAGCTATGAGACAGAGGAGAAAGACGCAGTTGTAGGACCCAAGTTGGAGGCCAAACCATGGCTTGTTTTAACTATGGCTTGTTGAATATGGCCCGACGTCCCGGGCTCACTCATCAAAGCAAGCCAAAATTGGCTAGGATAACTTCTGGCTTAGTAGAGCCACCTCTATGCAGGTGTACCTAGCTAGGAGGCAGAAAGATATAGCTGTGGGATCCAGGTTGGAGGCTAAATCGTGGCTGGTTTTAACTATGGCTTGTTGAATATGGCCCGACGTCCCGGGCTCACTCATCAGAGCAAGCCAAAATTGGCTAGGATAACTTCTGGCTTAGTAGAGCCACCTCTATGCAGGTGTACCTAGCTAGGAGGCAGAAAGATACAACAGTGGGATCCAGGTTGGAGGCTAAATCGTGGCTGGTTTTAACTAGGGTTGGTTGAACATGGCCCGATGACTCATCACAGCAAGCCAGAATGGGCAAGGCTCCCTTAGCAGCGGGCTCCTGGGTGCGTGCACACACACACACACACACACACACACGTGTGAGCCAGCCTCACCGACGTTGTCTTGCACGAGCCTTTTCCGGCAAAGGCTTGCTTGCGCTGGGGGAAACGAGGGGGAAACGCTCGCGATCGGGGCTGGGGGGGGGGGGTCGGAAAGAGTCCCCCCCCGGGGGTGCGGGTGCATGCATCACCGGCTGGGAGGGAGGGGGTGCAACGCGCGCGCCCCGACCCGAAACTTCGCCCCAGGACCCTCTTCCCTAAGAGGGGCGCCTTTTGCACCGAGGCAGGGGCGGGGGCACTTTGCACGCTTGCAAACGGCCCCCACAGCCTTCCCAACCCCCCCCCCCGAGCCCCTCCTTGGAGTGCCCCCTCTTGCAGCTTCCAATGCCCCCCCAGATCTATTTGGGGAGGGGGTGCAATCCAGGCAGCGGAGAGGGCTCCGCTGCCTGGATTGCACCCCTTCCCCAAATTGCACCCCCCCCAAGGGGAGAGGTGCATCGCCCCCCCCATCCCCTCCCCTCCCTCTCCCAAGGCAGCCGCTGATGGGGAGGGTCGCTCCTACCTCCGCCGCCGATCCAGAGCCCTCCGCGAGCTGGCTGGCCAGCGCTCTACGCCAACTGCGCCCGCTACGCCGCTGGCGTAATGGGGAAAGAAAAGGGGCGGGGAGGAAGGCCGCGGCGGTGCCAAAGCCGCAGATGCTCGAAGCCGATTGGGCAAGCCTCGAATGGAGGGGAAGGAAAAAAAAAAAAGGGGGCGGGAAGGCATCCGCACCTCCATTGGCTCCGCGTGACCACGACGGCGGAAGGGAGAGCGGCCATTGGAGGGAGCGTGACGTCAGTCATGCAAGAAGGGGGGGAAAGAGCCCCGCCTCCTGCATTGAATTTAAAGTTGCTTCTGCAACCGGGCGCCCTCGGGAAGATTGGGAGACTCCCAAGCCCATCGTCCCCGCCCATCCTGGAATCGGAGCTGGCATATCCGTAGGGCGCGAGGGGGGGGCAGGGATTGCAAGGCAGCAGGCTGAGTGGGATGTGAGGTGCTGGAGGCGATGGGAATTGTAGTCCAACAAATAGGGTAGCCGAGAAAGGAAGCCTTGCTTTGGGTAGGGGATGATGGGCTTGATGAGGAAGCCTCCCTGCCAGACAGCGTGTTTCGGAGGAAGAATGAGGGCGAATCACAGCGGGGCAGGCCGTCAGGAATCAACGGAGGATAACATTTGGAGCAAGGTTTTTTTTTTTAAAAAATAAATATTCCAAATAAAATAAAGTGTCCGGTATCCTGTTTTCCAGAGTGGCTAACCAGATGTTCTTCAGAAGCCCACCCAGATGTTTCCTCTCCCCATCCACCTTTCCTCTGAAATGGGAAATACGGTGGCAGGATGCGTTTCCATCATCCTGCTCCATGGGGGGTGGGGGGTGGGATGGAGGTGGTTATCGTCGTTGCTGCTCCAATAAAATCGCAACTACCCCACGGAGCCCTAAACCATGGTTTGCAACCTCGGATGTCTGGGATCACGTGACAAAATGAGCCCCAAACCAAACCCTATTGGCTTGGGGCACCGTGAGAACATCTTCCCAATGTTTAGGAATATTAGTCTAATATTAACATTAGACCCACAAAGGGTCTAATAAAACCCCTTTGGTGGAGTGTTCTCCTCCATGGAAAAATAAAACACATTTTCCTAGCTAATTATAACGCCGGGATGGAAAACCTCTTGTGATTCAGCCTTCCCAACTTCCCCTTTGGACTTGCCATGTGATTACACCAATGGATTAGAGATGTATCGAAGTTTAGTGGGACAATAAATCCTGCTGTTCTAGTGCATGTTTAATCAACAGCTTCGATCAGAAAGCTGTTTTGTTTCTTTGGAGGCTTTGTTTTACAATTAATCCGACTACCGGACTGATGTTGTTAATCAACAGATTTGCAAAAAAGGATCAAAGATCTGCTGAACCCTCTGAATGCACATCGAAGGGGCATGTCTGAAGTTCCCAGAAGACGAGATCCCAAGTGCATCAGGGTGCGTGATAAATTAACCTATTTTTAAAATAAGCATTAATTGCTGTATCAACCTAGTTGAGCAATAAAGGGTAGTTTTTAATTTAGAGTCGAAGATCAATGTGGAAAAAGGACTATTACTGAGCTCTGATACGTGTAAGGCAGGGGTCTTCAAACTTGGCCCTTTTATGACTTGTGGACTTCAACTTCAATTCTGGCTGAGGAATTCTGGGAGTTGAAGTCCACGAGCCAAGTTTGAAGACCCCCCGCATTAAGGCGTGGTTTGCTTAGCCACGATTGGGAGGCCCGCATGTTCTCCTAAGTCACAAACAATGGTCTTACTGATTCATAGCTTATCAAATCCTTAGTAGGGTTCACTCAACACAATGAAGCATAAACCTTCGTTTATGACCCGTGTTTGCCAGGAACAACCCACGTGGGTGAATCACCAACAAAGACACCACAGTTTGGCTGAGACCCTGATCAACAAGCAAGTGACACTGCGGCAAAGCATGACTGTATAATCCTAATTGCAACCTTTAGCTTGGGTAACTGTCTTGGTTGAAGAATTTATGTATGTATGAAGTGTGTGAACTGAGTCAAGGACAATGGGCCGGTTCCTACGGGAGGCAAAGCCAGACAAAGGGTGCCCCTCTTACTCCAATCTGTCAATCCAACTGTGTTTTGATAGGATTCTGCAAAGAGCTTGGTCATGGCTTGGCTCCCTCTGTTTTATCAGTCCTTTGCTAGGGTTCATGCCCATCATGGTTTCTCCAGCTCACCATGTTTGATCAACTGCCCGTTTTGTACAACGGGAAAACGTTGACTGTTTCAGCTCAGAGAAAGTCAATTGCCCACCGTGATTGCTCCACAGCTGGATTGTACCCCCTTGTCTTTTTCAAGTGTGATGGTTAAAACTCCGGTGCTTTGTTTTGGTTGAAAGTATGGGTTGCAATGTATGGCTGTGAAAGTTGGACCATAAGAAAGGCTGAGCGCCAAAGAATGGAGGCCTTTGAACTCTGGTGCTGGAGAAGACTCTTGTGAGTCCCCTGGACTGCAAGGCGATCCAACCGGTCAGTCCTAGAGGAGATCAACCCCGACTGCTCTTTAGAAGGCCACATCCTGAAGTTGAAATTCAAGTACTTTGGCCACCTAATGAGAAGGAAGGACTCGCCGGAGAAGAGCCTGATGCTGGGAAAGATGGAGGGCAAGAGAAGAATGGGACGACAGAGAAGGAGGTGGCTGGATGGAGTCCCTGAAGCAGGAGGCGTGAACTTCAATGGACTCCAGAAGATGGTAGAGGACAGGATGGCCTGAAGGAACATTGTCCATGGGGTCACGATGGGTCAGATGCGACTTCGCAACTAACAACAACGGGTGATACCTTCTCCAAGCTTGACCATGGATATTGGTCTGCCTCAAAAACCCTGCCTGCCAGGAAACCATCTTGTCCCAGAAAGCTTTTAACTGGTAAGATGCCAAATGGACATTTGGGGCCATTAGCCAAGGTAGGCCTGGCTGATGGCCACGAAATGCAATAGCACTTAATTGGCCTTTGATGGCCCCTATTGTTTCCTGGCTTTTCTATTCTTCCCAATAAAAATGTCCCTGTAGCAGGAAGAGTGGAGAAAGTGCTGGAAAGATTACGTATTACAGGAATGTGGGCTTTAATTTTTTTTTTTTCTTGCTTGCTCTATTTTCTGGGACGCCAGAAAGCTTCCATTCCCAGATGGCTGAGAAAGCTGGAAAAAAAAATGTGGCTTAGAATACCCCACAAAGGTAAATGAAAGCACACAATGGAGAAAAAAAAAGGGGGGGACATTTTGTAAGAATCACATTAACAATACAGGTTTGTATCTTGTTATGCAACCTATTGCTCAGGTTGGGATTTAAAAAGGTAATTAATTCCGATGACTTAGACGGTGTCCTACTTAGAGGATTTCTCAAACCTACCAAATGTTGATTTTATTCAATCAACCACTATTAAAACAAGCCAAGACTGATGCTAGGTATGAATCCATTTTATTATTCTGGGGGATTCTGTTGATTCTGAATTACTTGCCCTGCCACGCTGGTTATGGTTTTTCTCTCTGCTCTTCTGTTTGGACTTTAAAGTCGTGAATAGATGAAAATAAATTGTTTTTTTTTTTTTTTTTTTTTGAGCATATGGAGAACTTGAGAGGTTGACCTAGTGGGAAATCCCAAGCCCTCTGTTTCTGCATTTTGAACAATGGGTTGGTTAAAAGAGGCCAGTTCTCTTAAGAGAATTCTTCCCAGTTATGTAGAAAAACCAGAAATTCTTTGCTTTAAAAAAAAACAAAAACCCTTTATACTTCCTTAAGTTGTCTTGAGGAAAATACCACAAACCAGGAGAGGTGACGATCGCCCTTTCAGCTGGTTTACATAAGCTCAAACTGGTTTGTTCAGTTTCCAGTTGCCTAGCAGTATTGGTTCAGGTGTCCAGGTAGGGATGGGGAGGATAGGTTCACATCCTCAGATATCCTGGTATGTAACAGTAGGCCAAAAAAACCCTGTGGTTGGCAAAAACCATAGAGGCTGGAATTCACACGCCACGCTAATTATATTGTGGTTAGAATTCCGTGCATAAACCTTTGCAGCTGGGGGAATTAAAAAGGGACAACGCAGGAAGAAGCCTACCTAAACATCTGGGGGCACATGTGGAATGGTGGAAGTTGCTGAGGTTGAGAAACACTGCTTTAGATTATCTTCCCCCCCCCCCCCAGAAAAGACTCAGTGTTCTGGAGAGGATTCGTGGTGAATTGCTACCGGCACAGGCTACAAAGTTTAGTCTTTGAAAACTTTTTTTTTTAACCAAACTCTGTTATGGTATATTTCTTATAAATCTAATTGTACTCTACCCTCTTACGACAGTAGACTGTGCTGCAAAGCTAGAAGAGAAAGCTAGACTTTGTGACCGGCCAAATTCTGACACCGCAGATTGTTCTCTCTTTTTTATTCCTATATAGATAGAACATCACGGAAGAGAAAGTCCTATCTGGGACCTAAGGAATGCCAGGCCAGGCACGAAAACCACACTTCGTGGCATTTGTTTCATCTAATTATTTTAGGAGAGAGTTGGCCAGTCTAAAAAATGTTCTTTTTCTCATTCGGACTACGTGAGGATAAAAGGACCAGAAGTACGAATGTAGCTTCTTGCTTATCCATCGTTTTGACACTGCGGTGTTCATTTGTCACGGTGTACGTGGCTGATGGTGGAACAAAGTTCTCAGTTAATGGCCTTTTAGATTTATTTTAATGTGGGGAGCCCCAGGGCTTTATGCTTAACAGTATACTAGTTTTCAAAGATAGAAACGTGGGGGTATTATGCCCCCTGCAGGTAGCATAAACACCAGGAAATATATAGGACATCTGGACTATTTCATCTTTCAGATCCAAGTTACTGAAAAAACAGTCTTCCCTACTGCTCTGTTTTTTAAAGCTTCAGATACTGGGAAACCTCTGAAACAGGATTTGTAAGTTTTTGTCGTAGACCTGTTGTATAGACGGCCAAATGCAACAAGCATCCATCCACAAAGTGATGGCTGAGTGCATTGTATTAAGCCAGAATGACTTTCTTGCTGTGGCTTCGGAGTGTCTCATTCAATCAACTAAGGTCCATCCTATCATCTCTCATAATGCTCGTGTTTGTGATCAGAATGTGTGTCAGTCCAGGCACCACAGCATCATCAGTGTGGCGTAGGAATGCTTAGAAATCCCATTTAAGCGATCAACCCATCCCAGCCACACAATTCAAGGATCTCCTACACTACGGTGTCTACAATGATTCACGCTTACTTTGCTACCAGCCTTTTTCAACCTGGTCTCCTTTCTCTGAACTGGGATTTCTTTTCCAAGAATTCCTTAAGTAGGATGGCAAAGGCTGTCACCTGTCTCTCCCAGCCTGAATCGTGGAAACAGCAACTTTTGGACCAATTTAGAAAAAAGAAAAGAGACAGAAAAGCTGCTTTGTGTTTATATCAAAATCTATTTGCCAATCTTTTCCTTTAAAATCCAAGTTAGGGTTTATGCCTAACAGAGTCAGTTCAAGGAACTGCGTAAACGATTAAAAAAAAAAAAAAGGACAGAGGCTGAGCCAGGTTAAGTAATCCTGAGCGAAGTTTTTGGCTTCTAAACCACAAAACAGGGCACCCAGTCTTCCCGGGCCAAGACTGGGTTTAGAAGACTTTCCTTATTCCAAAGTTCATTGAATGAGGCTGTCCTGTCCGTTCTGGGTCACTTGGCTCGGATCGGCGGTCCCCGAAGGAGCGACGGGGGTGTTGGTCTGCAAAAAACGGCGGAAGTCCTTAATCACCGGGTGCACGATCTGGATGAGGGCGTTGAGCGCGGCCTGCATCCCTTCCATGGCTTGGGCCTGGCGTTCCTGCGCGCAGGCCTGCACCTCCTGAGAGTGGCGGATTTTCTGCAGCAGGTCGCTCTGCTGCTCCAGGTGCTGGGCAATCTCTTTGACGTGGAGGTTGGTGACTCGCTGCTCCTGCAGGAGCTTGCCGGAGTTCAGAGCGATCCTGTTTTTCAGCTCCTGGGGCTTGGCTGAGACATCGGCCTGCTGGGTGATCATCTCCAAGGGGGCTTCGGCGGCGACGGTGGTGGGGGCTTCGGTGGTGCAGTACTCCACCACCCCGTCTTCCAGACTGTGGTAGGTCATCTCTGCTGGAACTAAGAAAAGAAGGAGATCTTTTTGAGAAGCGGGACGTTTGCAATGTGCCTTTCGACACAACGGTCGACGGAATTAAATCTGGGAATTGAAGCGTCCCAAACAATTGGGTTTAGAATTAAATCTGGGAATTAAAGGTCCATGGAGATTCTCAGTCATCCAGGTCAGGGTTGTCCCAAAGCTGCTTTTTCAGGAGGCAACTGGATTTCCTTTTTTTTTCCTTTGAAGGCGTTTCGCTTCTCATGATCTGGATGACTTGAGAATTTCCACAGACATTCAGCAGGGCACCTTAGGATGAGCCCCCTTGGAATGGTGAGGGAGGATGAATGGATTTCCAGAAAACTTTGCAGACTGCAGGAACCGTTTGCGCTTCAGTTTGAGATGTAGATAACCCAGACTCATCCCCAACAAGGAAAGGACCCAGGGCAGACACCATCCTGCAGCCAAGAAGGCTCCACACCCATTTGCACTGCTCAGGTGACCCTGAGGACACAGATAAACCTCCAAATGGCCTTAACAACTCTCTAAAATAATGCAAATGACCAGCTGTCTGCAAGGAGTATAAATCCTTCCATTCCCCACCATCCAGTCAGAGCTGAAGAAGCTTCTGGGATGAGAAGCAAAACGTCTTCAAAGGAAAAAGGATTGGAAAAAACTCCTGGAAAAGCACCTTTGGATCTGGGAATGAAAGCATCCTAAACATTGTGTTTCAGCTATAATCTTAATAAATAAAGGTTTGGAAACAAAATGGAGTTCCTGGGGTCCAGAAAACACATGGGATAACTACATTTCCCACCCTGTAATACTGTATTTTTTTTGTTATTTTGAAGACACCGTACCCTGGGTAGCAAAGTGGACTGAAACGGCAAGGACGCAGGATCCTCCTCTTTTGCCCCTTAGGACTTTGAAAAGAGTCCCATTATGGATCTAGCATAATCACTGCTCCATAAATACCGGATGGTATTACAGTCTCACGCTTGATAAATGGCCCAGGGTGGTGAAAAAGCAAACTTTTATCTACTGCTTATCACACAAAGCCTATTGACTGATAACAACGTGACCTATTCATGGCCTTAAGACGGAATGAGGTTTCCTGAGAAATTACCGCTACGGAGTTTATCAGTGCAATTATTTTTTTTTCAAGGACAGGAGTCTCCAAAGAGGCCTGGGTTTGGGGTAGGAACAGAACACGGGAAGAGTCCATTAAAAGGAAGGGAGTGAGTCAAGAACACAACAGATACAGGATGCTTTTATCAAGTATCTCCAGGGCTACCGGAGAAAACAACCATCTGCAACTAAGTCACCTGGCCAGATTAATAGGAGCAGCGCCGTGGAGATGAGCCAGGAGATGGAAAACCCATCTTAGTGTTGTTTTTTTTTTCCGTTCAACCCCACCCTCTTTTTGCGTGCCTTGCCTAAATTTTTCTCCTCCTTGGGCAGGCAAGGACAAAAGAAGATTGCGGTGTACTGAACAGGCTGCAAGCAGCAGGTTGCAGAATCAAGCAGAGGCAGTCAGGTGCAACCTTAAAGGTGCAGGTTACCTGCTGCTGCCAAACACATTGGGCTGGTTCCAGGCGAGCTTTCTTTCCTGAAACTCTAGATCAGGTGCTGGACATGCACCTGGTTCAGACCAGGATGGGAAAAAACCAAAAACACCAAATCAGGGTTTCTCAACCTCAGCAATTTGAAGATGAGCGGACTCCAAATGCCAGCGAGAATTGCGGGAGCGGAAGTCCATCCATCGCCTCAGCCAGAATTCTGAGATTTGACGTCCACATATCCCCAGACAGAATTCTAGGAGTTGAAATCCACATCGCCCTAGCCAGAATTCTGGGAGTTGAAGTCCATCCATCCCCAGACAGAATTCTGAGATTTGAAGTCCACATATCCCCAGATATGGAGGAGTTGAAATCCACATCGCCCTAGCCAGAATTCTGGGAGTTGACGTCCACATATCCCCATCCAGAATTCTGGGAGTTGACGCCCACATATCCCCAGACAGAATTCTGGGAGTTGAAGTCCACCTGTCTTAAGGTTACCAAGCCATTCGCTAATCTGAATGGCTCTGACTAACAATGGCTGTACGGGAAGGAAGGAATAAACTACTTACTCTGTGTAAGGGTGACGGTGGTTGCGGCAGCGGTAATGGGTATTTCCGACGTATGGGGGCCGGTGCAGCTTCCCGCGGGCAAGTTGATGATGGTGGCTTCTCCCAGCAGGTTGCAGATGCGCTGCTGCATGGGGGTGAGAATCACTGGGGCAGCGGAGGTCCCTGTTGCGTCTTCTTCCGCTTCCTGGCCTTCCCCGCCTCCTTCCTGGTCATTGCCACCGTCTTCCACAGCAGCTCTGACTTGGGCCACCTTGCGCCGCACCTCCGTCTTGAGGTCCGACCACTTCTTCTTCACCTCCGGCAGCTCCCGGCGGCAGGTGGCCACCGCGTTGACCCGTCGCAGGATGTTGTGCCAAGCAGCGGCCTTGACGGTCAGCGGCACGCCGGCGTTGAAGTGGTTGATGAGCAGGTGCTTGCTCCGTTCGAGTTCTTCCACGATGATCTCCACCTCCCGCTCGGAGAAGTTCATCTTCCGTTTTTTAGCTGGAGGGGCCGGAGGAGACGACATGGCTGTAGGAGGGCCCGAGGATGAAGACCACAAGCCAGATCAGGGGTCTTCAGACGAAGTCCGGGGGACTGAGCCTGCGAAAAGAAAGGGGATCATGTTGAAAAAAAACAGACCCAGGGGGCCAATTTTGGAGCAAGTCACTCTATTCTGGAAGGAAGAAGAGAGATTTTCTTATGCATGGATGCAAAATTCAACCAAAGGGCTGATAAACAGAGCCAGCGAAGTATTTATAAGCCACAGGACTGAAGGTAAATGGCAAAACTTAGGTAGGCACAAATTATATTTTGGTTAACGCCAAGCAGAAATTAGCTCTCCAAATTAGCGTGCTCCTTTTTGAAGAAAATTACTGAGAACCACGGGGAAGATGGGTGGCGTTTTAGGACCAATTGTTTTTGTTGTTGTTAATTGCGAAGTCGTGTCCGACCCATCGCGACTCCACGGACAACGTTCCTCCAAGTCTTTCTGTCCTCTACCATCTTCTGGAGTCCATTTAAGTTCACACCTACTGCTTCAGTGTTTAGGACCAATACAGAAGCCAAACGAGAAGCCATCAAGAGGGTGGACACAATGGCAAATACAAGGAGTGTTTAATGGACCCTGGTGCTGTTCAGGTGGTCCTTTTGTACAAACTTACCTACGACAGCATCTCATTTGGTATTTCTGGACTTGAAATCCAGAAATCAGGGTTAGGTTTGTGCCAAAAGGAAGCCAGAGATGGCAGGCTGAGGTTTAGGATGGCATTTTGGAATCGGATCATCTATCTCTAAGGCTGATGGGGAAATGGGACTCTCCCAATGGGATATTTGGGGGTCTCTGAAATAGGGAACTACATGGAAAAATCCCACACAACTGTAACAGCCCTTAGTTAAAATAAAAAGCGGAAAAATGAATAGCAATAAGGCTGACCCCTGTCATTTCTGATGCATGAAAAAAAGGAATGGATTCTCTAGTTATACACTGGTAAATTCAATTTTTGGGGGGGGGCAGGAGTGGGAAAGTGGCCCTTTAAAGGACTGAATAGCCACATCATGGATATAAATGCATTTCTCATAGAATTCCCGAGGAAGGCAGACCAAAGAAGTCTCAATAATTTTAATTTTTTTGGAGGGGAGGGGAATGAGCAAAATTGAATTATCCTTCAATTACAGGGATAAAAGGGGGGGGGGTTGAATTCATCTAATTTCCACTTCACCAGTTCCTTTTCTCAGTTTAATTGCTCAGGAAGGGAAAAGAAGCCTCAATAATTATGATCAATATTAAATTTTTGGAGGGGGAAGGGGGGGGAAATAGACATTAGGCAGCCTTGGTGGCTTCCATTTCAGGGGTGAATTTGGGGAGGGGGGAAAGAGAAAGGCATTGGTGTCATTTGCATTCCGGCAGGCAAGTTAATTCTAACTTATAAATTCTAATTTATATATATTTTTTCACCCCCCCCCCGCCAAAATAAAAGGAAGTGGGGGGGTCAGGGGGAATTATAGGGGGCTCAGCGAGGGGGCTTCAGGCTTTGGGCCTGGTGGGAGAAAAGCCCCCCAGCATAGCCTTGGACCCCCCCCAGCGCCCCCCCCGCCATCCCCCCATTTCGTGCCCCCCCCGCTCTTCCCGCCGTCCCCTTTCCCAGCAGGCGAGGAAAGGTACGCAAATGGCGTACCCCAACTACCCGGCGACACCCGCCCCGCAGAGAGTCTCTAGTTTGCGGCAGTGGCGTAATGGCTTCCAGAATCGGCCTCCTCGTGGCCCTGCTTCTCATTGGCGCAGCTCTTTGCCCATTAGGGGTCAGAGCCCGCCCTCTCCCTCCCTCCCCGCGCCTCGCGCGAAGGGGCGGCGATTGGCGGCGGGGAAGGGCCCCCCTCATCCGGGGGAGCTTGAAGCCGATTGGCGGAGAACGCGAGTGCTCCGCCGGCCGCTATTGGCTTCCGGCGTCGTCCGTCCAGCGAGAGTGTTTGGATTACTTGGCAACCCAATCCCGCCTCTCCTTCAACGGCCGCCCGTTCTTTCCTGTGACTGGGATTGGGTGTCCTTCCGCCGGCCAATAGGAGGCCGTTTGCGCACCGCCTCCAATCGCGTGGCGGGAAGACGAGAAGGAGGACGAGGAGGGGGGGGAGGAGGAGCAAAGCAGACACGTCTTTCCGTCCTCCCTGTGATTCTCGCGAGAATTCCTCCTCTCCCTTCGGATTGGCCCAGTTTAGAGAAGAAGCGGCGCCGTCGGGCAATGAGAAGGCGGTGCGCCCTCCACGGAGGGCGGGGCTTCGCCTCAGAAAGGCCACTTCCGCCGGGCGGGCGGGCAGTTCCGCTGAGAGGCGGGGCGCGGGCGGTGTGTGGCGGTTATGCCGGCTGGCGCGCGGCGTTCGCTGGCTTCCCCGGCGGTGGTGAACGGCGTGCTTTGCCAGTGTGGCGGGGTCTCCGCGTCCCCTTCCTCCCCTTCGGCCTCCTCCTCGTCGTCCGGCGAGGCCGCGTCCCGGTTCCTGGCCGAGCACGAGCGGCGCCTCTACAGCCTCTTCGTCCAGCTGGACGTTAACCGAGACGGCGCGCTCTGCGTCCACGACCTGGCCGTCGGGCTGGAGCGCCTCGGCCTGCACCGCTCCGAGCGGGACCTCTGGGTGAGTCTCTCTCTTCACCTCCCCTTCCCCAGGGTTATTATGAGGGAGCCCTGACAGGGACGTTTATTTTTATTTTTTATTTGTATTTCATTTATTATATGGATATAGATATAAGGGACACACAGACACACATATACACACACACATATATATACCTGAGGTATATATATACCTCAGAAAACACACACACACACACACACACTCACACACACACAAATGGAATGAATAAAGCGCGTTCACCAGGAGAGTTTGAAGTTAAAATACTTTAATTAAAGTATTTTACTATATTAAAAGGTTGCCAAGCTTTCGTTGGGAAAACTCCCCAACATCTTCAGGGCTGAGAGACCGTTTCTAACAAGGTGGTTTAAACGGGTTCCATAGACGTCTGCGCTTGGTTCCTAGACCGTGCCAGCATTCCCCGCTGAACAGCTGATAGGTGGGAGGGGGAATCGGAGTAAAGATTTCTTCCCTCGTTCTCTGGAGCACTTGTGTTCACATCATATGTTTTTGTGTGTGTGTGTGTGTGTGTATGTATGTATATATATGTGTATATGTCTGTTTGTGTGTGTGTGTGTATGCATACATACATACATACATACATACATACATACATATATTTTCTGAGGTTTTCCCGGGTGTTTGTATGTAGGTCTTTGGTTATTCGGGTTTTCTCCCACGTAAAATTGGAAGTGTCTTGGCGACGTTTCGACGAAGTCCCATTCGTCGTCTTCAGGCTGGCATTTTCAGGTTCGTGCGTCGAGGAACATATATATATATATGTTGAGAAAAGTAGTCAAACACCGGGATAAATAAAAATAACTGTTTAATAAACTAACAACTGTTTAATAAACTAAAAACTGTTTGATAAACTTAGCTTTCGTTGCTAACTGCCAACGTCGTCAGAGTGGAATGCCATTGGACTAGATGACCTACAAGATTCCTTTTCTATTCATTCAGTTCTATTCTGCGTTCTATTCTATTCTCTATTCCATTCTATACTCTATTCTGTTTCTGTTCTGTTTTCCATTCTATTCTATATTCTATACTCTATTGTCTATTCTCCTATTCCATTCTTTATTCTATTCTCCATTCTATTCTCCATTCTGCTTCTGTTCTGTTCTCCATTCTATTCTCTGTTCTATACTCTATTGTCTATTCTATTCTCCTATTCCATTCCTTATTCTATTCTCCATTCTTTCTATTCCATTTATTCTATTTTAATGTAACTAACCTCCCTATGCAAAGCAGAGGTTACTTTTATCCTGTCCAATCAACGTTCCTCTTTCATTTTTCTTTCTTGTGTTAACTATATAAAAAAAATGTAACATGGGGCTCAAGGCTCCTTTTCATAGAGAGACTGCATTTTATCAGAGTACTCTATAAACTGTTTTTATATGATCTTCCGACTCGGTTACTTATTGGGAAGGTAAAACCAGGCAGAGCGTGTAACTCTTCTTGACTCTGGTTAGCCCACCCAGGGGGAATTCCTTTCTGGACCGGCTCCTGTAGCCTGCTTGGTGTGGGGCTTTTTCTTTTCTTTCTTTTTTCTTCAAATTATCCAGGTTTATCTTGGATTTTCGTGGCTTGCTGATTGTCTGTACAGATAGTCCTCGATTTGCAACCACTTGTTGTTAATTGCGAAGTCGTGTCCGACCCATCGCGACCCCATGGACAACGTTCCTCCAGGTCTTCCTGTCGTATGTTGCTAAGTGAGACATTTGTAAAGTGAAGTTTTGTCCCGTTTTACGACTTTTCTTGCTACAGTTGTTAAGTGAATCATTGCAGTCATTAGCAATCTGGTTGTTAAGCGAATCTGGCTTCTCCCATTGGCTTTGTCAGAAGGTCATAAAAGCTGATCACATGATCCCTGGGACATTGTGACTGTCATAAATGTGAGTCAGTTGCCAGGTGTCTGAATTCTGATCATGTGGTTTATGGGGATGCAGCAGCGGTCATAAGTGTGCAAAATGGTCACAAGTCCCTTTTTTCACAGCCGTCGTAACTTTGAATGGTCACTAAATGAACTGTTGTAAGTGGAGGACTTGCTTGTATTGACACCTAGGCGCTGTGTTTCTTCATGCGATGATTTTGTGGAGGGCTTTTTTTTTTTTTGCAGCTCTGGCAAAAAGAACTTGATAGAAATGTACTAAAGGGTCAGAAAGATTAAAAAGTGTATGGATTCAGGGAGTCCTCCACTTACAGCCATTTGTTTAGCGACGGAAGTTGCAATGGCACTAGAAGAAAAAAAGTGACTTGTGAGCAGTCCTTGCAGCATCCTCATTGGTCACGTGATCAAAATTTGGATGGTCGATAACCTGCACATGTGATTGCAGTGGCCCGGAATTGCGTGATCAGTTTCCCAGCCATCTCCAGACCAGCAAAATCAAAGAGGGAAGCTGTATTCGCTGAACGACCGGATGATTTGCTTAACGACTGCCCTGATTCCCTTAACCATGGCAAAAAAGGTCATAAATTCAGGCACAACTCACTTCAGTGTCTTGCACAGAAACACAAAGTCCGGTCCCAATTGTGGGAGCCTCCCTAGTGTGTGTGTGGGGGGAGACACCTGCAAGGCTCTCTGTTATTGTAACCTTACAACGTAAGCAGTGTTCGCACTCATGGCTTTGGTTTCCTGCCTGGACTACCTCGCAAGGATGTCGGTATCTTTGGTTTCATCCACAGCTTGTGCTGTCCTTCCCGTTATTTAATTTAATTTTTTTTCCAGCCTCCAAATGTCTACGGTAAACTCCATTGAGGCGGTGCATCGCGATCCATTGATTACCTTATAAAATGCACGTACATCATTAGTGTTAAATAAACAACGATTTATCTAGCTGGCTTTCTGCCTCCTTCCTCATAACATGATTCATAATCAGTTGTGTTTAGGCTAATGCAAAGAAAGGCAGATAGCGAGGCCTTTGTGTCCTGAGCGTTTTGCGTTGCCTGCTTCCCAACTGCGTAACCCTGAAATTGGAAAGGATCAGAATCTTGTCTTCACCAACCAGGCTTTGTGCTTCGTGTCGTGTGTGGTCTTTTCCAGAAATGGCAATTTCTGAGATTAACAAACCCTAGGATTTCTTGCACAAATACGTCACATGCGCCATTTGCTATGCAGGCACCAAACCCTTTTTCTGCCCATCCTTCCCCCCCCCCAAATAAAAGGCCTGCATGGGTCCTTGCAGATTATTCGAGATAATCTGAATAACAGGCTAGTCTCACGAGAATATATCATTGAGAACAGAAGCTGCTTTTGGGGGAGGCGTGTGTGTGTTTCTGGGTAACACTCTAGAAGTTGTGACAAATTGGATTGCCTGGACTGTAGTTGGGGGGGTGGGGAGAAAGAGAACAAAGCAGGGGGAAAAAACAGAATAGTTTGGCCAAATTAGTTTTATTGATGGAAAAGGATGAAGGTGTAAACCAGTCAGGAAAGAGGAGATCAGAGATAGTGAATAATCCGCCAGATGTTTGAAGGGCTTTTATTTTGGGTTGGGTGGGTGGGCAGGAAAAGGGTCTGCTGCACACAGAGTGGTGGTGGTGGTGGTCCTTTGTGATGGATTTGTGCAAGAAAATAGGGGTAGTCCCCGACTTAACAGCCACAATTCAGCCTAAAATTGCTAGGTGAGACAGTGAGCTTTGTCCCATTTTACGACCTGTCTTGCCACAGTTGTTAAGTGAATCGCAGCAGTTAAGTAATCCAGCTGTTATATGACTCTGGCTCCTCCCCCCCCCTTGACTTTGTCTGTTAGAAAGTGATCACTGCAACTGTCACAAATATGAGTCAATTGTCAAGTAGCCAAACTCTGATCGTGTGACACAGGGATGGATGCTGCAATGTTTGTAAGTGTGGACAGTGCTCATAAGTCACCGTTTTCAATGCTGTTGTAACTTTGAGCGGTCATTAAACAAACTTGTAACTCGAGGACTGTCTGTACTGGTAGGTAAGCACGTTCCTCGCACTGTGTGTAAATAAATGCCCTCTTCAATCATTCCTCTTGTTTGCCGTAGTTCGATATGATTGCTTTGGCATCTCAGCCCTTATCAAACAGGCCCAATTTGTCCACCCTTGTTGGCTTTGGGCTGTTAACTGTGCTGTTAACCTTCGTATTGACTTATCAGAGGCCTGTGCCTGTTGTAGTCTGGGATGTTGACCAGGGTCCACAGTATTGTCAGGGATGCCACACATCCTCTCCTTGACTGGTTTTCTTCGTTACCATCACTGTATCCGAAGCAGAACAAGTAGGATCCGTAATAGCTTTATACCATCTAGTATCAACCTTGTTAACGCTCAAGATTCTCTTTTCCGCTATGTATTCTCAATGGTCTATGATTGATTTTTATATGTAAATATATATAAATGTGTGTGTGTGTATATATAGCATATGTATATATAGCGTGCATATGCAAGAACTATTTTAAAAATCCGAGTCCCAGGTATATTAGTTTGGAAAAAGGAAGACATACTGATCTCCCGGGACATAAAATTTATTTTGCACTGTCATTTCGTTATTGCAGCCTTGGCTGGTTTATAAAAAAAAAGAAAGCAGTTAAAATAGCCCAGCAATAAAAACATGCTGAACCGTATATTTAGGCTTGACTGCCCTCTGATTCTTTGCCAAACCACTTCTTTCTCGTGAGTATTTAATTTTTGTTGCTGACTGACAGCTGTTGCTTCCTCGTCTGTTAACGCTGGAGCGGCTGCGAAGAGCAGTTCAAGAGGCCATCGTTGTGGCTTACAGTGCAGATAATTAGTTCTGCCCAGGGTAATTTAATCTCTCTGTGAGCCCACAGTGGCATGTTTTTGTTGGATTACATAACGAGGATATTTGAGAGCTGATCTGCCTGGCTTTGTCCAAACTTGAGCAGTGATTTCTTTCCCAAAAGCATCCCCGTGTTGATTTTGTATAATTTTCAGAGGGCAAATACTCTTGGGGAAATATCTGAGTTTATAGCAGGCCTAAGGAGATTCACATTGCTTGATCTTAAGGGCCTTTCCGTTGGCCGGACAGATTTATTTTTTGATTTATTTATTAAGTGTTTATTTAATTTCATTGTGAATTACACAATGACAATAAAGATATTCTGTTCTATTCTATTCTCCTATTCTGTTCTACTCTCTTCTGTTCTATTCTCTTTATTCTATTCCCTATTCTATTCTATTCTATTCTCTATTCTCTATTCTCTATTCTATTCTCTATTCCAGTCCAGTCCATTCCATTCCATTCCATTGTGCCACTATTTTCTTGAACATTGGGGGAACAGCTTCCTGATTTTAGTCAGGTTTTCCTGATTATTTACTGTTGTTCTCTTATGTTTCTATTTGGCGACGTGATACTTTTGAATCATTTTGATGTTTGTCTGAACGGGAAGCAATATTGGCATTTTGTTTATGAATAAAGCTACATAGTAAAGAATACAGATCCGAGAGAAGGATGTGGGTTTTTTTTTTTTTTTTTGAAGACAAGGTCATACAATTGAAAGATGGAGAGGCATTGCCATTTTTTGACAGTGTTCCACTAACCAAAAACAAATACATTACGGAGAAGCCACGTCCATTTTGTGCTGTATTTGCTTCGTCTCATTTGGTTCTTCGGGAACTCACTTTTTTTCTTTATTTGTATCAGAAGCACCCACAAATTATAAGCCTTCAACACAGAGCAATTAAAGCAGGTATAAAATAGGTCATTGAATTGTAGCTCATGTGAAAAGTATGCAGAATAAATAAGATTAAAACCAAATGACATTTGCCCAGTATTGGGCCACGCCGATAGCATTTTCTCTTGCCAGTATAAAGTCTTCCTCCGTTCATGATGAACGACTCCTTCACAAATGCAACAAAATACGAATTTGAACCAGAAGGTCAGACGTTGGCCACTTGCATAACGCTGGAAATTCACAAAGTCAACCACAGGTTGAAAGGGAATGGTGCCCAAGAGGAAATTTCTTTTCCTGCTTGCCCCATAAGCATCTTGCTTCCCCCTCCAAGTTGACCAATGTTTGGAAACGCAGAAAAACCCTCATTTGCAATTTCCCTATGAGCTCAAGAGAGGAGCGCGTTCTTCTGATCTGCTGAAACTGTCATTTAAAAAAAAAAAAAACATTCTCCACGCTATCTTTTTATCTTTCTCAATGGCCCAATGGAGTGGATGGAGGGTTCCATCTGTTCCAATGGAGGGAATAAAAGAAATCTAACTTAGCCTTCCTTTGAAAACGGGATGTGTCATGCAAGAAATATGTTCTGAATTAACGCTCTTGTGGAACAAGTTTGCTTTGATCTTAGCGCCTGCTCTTCGTCTCATCCTTAGTCAAAATTAGGAAGCGAATATAGAAGGACTTGCAATCCTTATTGTCTTCCATCAGAGATGGTAAAAGGATATGCCTACCTATATGGTTTTGGCAGGAAAGTTTTACAGATAATGTCTGGATCAAAACTCTTCAGCCTTCTCTTTTACACACACACTGGGGATACGTGTTTTAAGCAGAATATAACAAGCATTCCAATTAAATAACAAGCATTCCAATTAAATAGCTTGCTTCCCTTTCCGAATAAAGGCCAAACCAGACCCAGATCTTGGCAAAATAAAAAACATATGTTGGGTCCTTCTTATTCCTGACAATATTTCCAATATTGTGTTCTTCTGGACCCTGCATTATCCATTTTTTCTTTTCTTTTCTTTTTCCTGGTCTTCTATTTTGCTCGCTGCAATATAAAAAAAAAAGATGCTGAGAGTATGGAAAGAGTGCAGAGAAGAGCAACAAAGATGATTCAGGGATCTGGAAGCCGAAACTTACAAAGAACGGTTTGCATGAATTGGGTATGGCCAGTCTAGAGAAAAGAAGGACTCGGGGTGACATGATAACAGTCTTCCAATATTTGAGGGGCTGCCACAAAGAAAAGGAAATCAAGCCTTTCTCCAAAGCACCTGAAGGCAGGACAGGAAGCAACGGATGGAAACTAATCAAGGAGAGAAGCAACCTAGAACTAAGGAGAAACTTCCTGACAGTGAGAACAATTAACCAGTGGAACAACTTCCCTCTAGAAGTTGTGGGTGCTATAACACTGGAAGTTTTAAAGAAGAGATTAGACAACCAGTTGTCTGAAATGATACAGGGTCTCCTGCTTGAGCAGGGGGTCGGACTAGAAGACCTCCAAGGTCCCTTCCAACTGTTATTCTGTTACTTTCTGGGAGTGTTGTGCCAAAGAATCCTTTCGTCGGGTGCTCCATTACTAATTCTGGAAACTGAAGGACGAAAACTGATGGAAGAAGTCAGCTCCTTCCTTTGGCGATCGTGAACGGGAGAGTCTATTTAATCTTTGTCGGGCCTAACCAGGTTTAAGTAACACAAAGGGCGACAGAAGATGGAATCCTTGGTTTTTGCTGACACGGCACCACACCGGACCTGAGCAGGGCAGCTTTGTGGGGTTTATCATGTCAGAGGCAGAAACCTACCAGACAGGAGACTTATCTAATCTGTCCCTTTGCATGCCCAGACTGCCTTCTTCAATTCTGCATGGTGAGCTGTATTCTCTTGCCGGACCCAACGTATGTTTTGTTTTTTGCCAAAGATCCGGGTCTGGTTTGGCCTTTATTCATCTTGGAAAGGGAAGCAAGCTATTTCATTGGAATGTTTGTTATATTCTGCTTAAAACAGTTAGTAAGAGGGGGAAAAAATACTCGCCTTCTTTATCCTCTAGGTAGGTCTGGAGAAAGTGGCACATTTTTTACCAACAAAGGAGAATATTTGTAGGTGTTGAACGGAGGGTCCCCGATGCTCTCTGAGCTTGGTGCTTTTCTTGCAGAGGTGGTAGTGGTAGTGACTTTTTGTGTTGTTGTTGTTGCACTTTTTCCCCCCCAAAAGAGTGTCTTCTTCTGTTGAATGCTCCTCTCTCAGCTCTGCACCTCTCCGCAGAGGCCCCCCCCTGTCTGCTAGCCAGAAAGTGTCCAGTCACCGGGTCTTCTGATTGGCCCGAGGCGACTGGTTTGAATAATGAACCTTTTAGTGTTGGGCGCGGCGATTGGCCGGGCCCTGCTGCAGTGAGAATGCAGGCTGGATCATCATCAGGGCTGCTGCTGCTGTTCCTTTGACGTGCATTGTATGAGTTGGGGCAGGCTCCATCGGCTAAATCCTGCAGCTGCCGCCCAGCGTGGGGCTCCCATCATTCCTGCCTCTTACCTTCCTTTTTCTCCCTGTTTGTGAGTCCAGGCACGACGACACCCGGCCAGCGTTTTCAAAGCCAGGCAGGAGAGCTAGTGTAGCTGCAACATGAGCCTCTGGCAGGGCTGAGCATCCAGCTGTCTGTGCAGGACCGATTCCTTCTCCTGGAGCACAGCGGATCCATCTTCTCCGCGCGGCGAGCATCCTTCCCCGCCTCTCCCTTCCCCGGGGATCAAGGGATGCTGCAGACGCTCTGGCGTGTCTTCTCGTCCCTCTTTCTCGGGGCTGGGTGTCAGGGCCCGGCCGGACCCCCCCAGGAGGATGTGGCCCAAGAAGGACCCCCACTCCCCAAGCTTGCCGACCAAGCGCCCAAGCTGCCTAGAAAATTAGACAACAAAGAAGCCGATCCGTCCGAAAGGAGGCCGACCATTCTCCTGGTGGTCGGGCCTGCCGAGCAGTTCGCAGAGGTAAACGTTTCGAACTTGGACCTCTCTCCGCGACCGGGACCCGTCGGGGCAGGGAGGGTGGCGAGAGGGTGGGGCGATGGGAAGGCTGGGACCTCTGGGTCTTCAGAGAAAGCCAGTTGGGGAATATGGGAGCCTTGGTAACACTTAATGCAGATGAGGAAAAACACACACACACGCACACGCACACACACATCAAGAAGTTTCAGCGGGCATGGTGCAACTCCCCATCTGATATTCTTGCGCTATCTACCGTTCTTGAATCGCTTCCGTTATCTGCGGAAGGCCGGTAGCGTTGATACTCTTCCAGGTTGCTAATGCAAGGGGAGGTTTTTAAATCACTGCTCCTGGCGAGGATTTTTGTCTTAACTTGGGATCTCGTGGCCTTGTGTGAGCGATTCCCTGATAGCCGGCCGATCCCGTAGCGCTCTCCTCTTGCATTGGTCACAAGGAGAGCTGAGAATCAACCTTGATGCTCGCAGCAGGGCATAGAATTAAAATCTACACGGTTAGGTATGTAAAAACGAAGGGGGGGGGAGGCTTTCTGTCGACGAGCACACTCGGAAGGTTTGCTTTGGTTTCCAATTTGGAATCCAACCACTGGGTACCATTGAACAAAATAGCTGGATTAAAATTGTAATACGCCAGAAAGAAGGTTGACGGTGGTGAGTGAACTTTGTAGGATACGTAGAACTTTTAGATAGGAGGTGAGTAAGCCAGGCTTAAAAAGAATTGAGAAGAGAGCATGGAGTTGCTGAAGCTTCTCACACCTTGTAGGAAAGATGGAGGAGAGGATGGAGATGTAAGTAAGAAGTGGGGGGAAGAGGCGATCTGTGCTATGTTCCCCTCTTAATGTAAAAAGTTCTTTCTTTTTATGTAGAAGTTTTTATTAATTTTCCCCCCATACATACAGTGATAATTTTTCAACCAATGTGCTGTCCGAATTTACATTCGCTAATACATATTTAATTCCTAATCCTTTATTCTTTCCTCTAGCCATCGATAAAATAAGTCCCAAATTTGATACTATCCTGTTTCTTCTTTTTCTTTCAGTCTCCTAGTCAATCTTGTCCATCTCTGCGCATTCTAGAATTTTTTTTTGATTATTTCTGCATCTGATGGTATGCCTTCATTTTTCCAATATTGTGCAAATATAATTCTTGCCACTGTTGTGACATGCACAGCCAAATAAAAGCGTTGTCTATTAGTCTTTTCTGGTATTATACCTAATTAAAAAAAAGTTCAGGTTTAAAGGTGACATGTTCTCCCAATGTCTTTTCTAGCCTTGGATGTCTCTTTTTCCAATAATTCTTTATCATAAGTCCACCAAACATGATAATATGCGCCTGACTCATGTTTATATTTCCAACATCTACCTGACATGTTTTTAAACATTTTTGCTAATCTTGCTGGTACCTCTTCAGTTCTTTCTCCCCTACAATTGTAGAAGTGCTGTCCCTCTGGATCACTTCTTTTAATTCTAGGGACACAGCTGGAGGTGGGCTTCCTTTGTGCAGCGTCTAGGAGAAACTCAGCCTTAAATCTTTTAGGCATCCATTGAAATAAAGCTAGGTTAAAAATGCGATCGGAAAAAGCCGACATTTCCTTTCCAAAATTTCCAGGGTTGTATAAGGCACCCGAATTTAAAGAATCGAGGCAAACTGGTTTTAGATGTTCATCTGATAAGATCTCCAGAATTACCAATGTAGGTGAAGATAATAACAATAACAGAAAATGTCAAAGCATACTTTCAAGTTGCCAAACATCTGTCAAGGCTCCAGAAAGAACCTGGATATTTCCTTTGAAATATATTATTCCGGGAAGAAAGAAATTAATTATCACAAAATCTCTTAGATCAGTTACGCGGAACATGCCCCAGAGATGGAGTATCTTAAGCTGCGGCTTAGGACATAGCAAAGAGACAACCTTGCGTGGTTAATGGTTTCTAAGGTTGCGTAGTCCCTTGTGGACCGAGGTTAAAAATTTTCCACATCTTTGCTGTGTTAATCTAGGTCTAGGAGCTTCCTTTAGCCTCTTTCCCACTTTATCAGGGATGTAAACATTCAGCGTTGTTCTTTATCATTTTGCAGCTGAAATATGCAAAGTCTAAAAATCGGGAGGCAGTTTTTAAAGGGGTTTCAGGTAGATAGATAGGTGTGAAATCAGAAACTATAATAACATTGGGGGGTGTTTGTGTTGCAGTTATGATTAGGCTACTTTTAAGACGAGCTCTTGAAACTTTGGGGTATAGGAAGTTGGAAATATAGCCATCTAGAAATGGCTTGCCTCTAATGAAAAGAAAGACAAGGGGTGACATGATAGCAGTGTTCCAATATCTGAGGGGCTGCCCCAAAGAAGAGGGGGTCAACCTCTTCTCCAAGGGGCCTGAAGGCAGGACAAGAAGCAACGGATGGAAACTCATGAAGGAGAGAAGCAACCTAAGGAGAAACTTCCTGACAGTTAGAACAATTAACCAGTGGAACAACCTGCCTCCAGAAGTTGAGGATGTTCCAACACTGGAAGTTTTTAAGAAGAGATTGGACAACCATTTGTCTGAAATGGTATAGGGTTTCCTACCTGAGCAGGAGGTTGGACTAGAAAACCTCCAAGTTCCTTCCAACTCTGTTGTTCTGTTCTGTTCTGTTCTGTTCTACTCTACTCTACTCTACGCTATTCTACGCTACGCTACGCTGTGCTGTGCTATTCCATTCCTATTCCATTCCACTCCTATTCTATTCTACTCTACTCTACTCTACTCTACTCTACTCTACTCCTACTCTATTCTATTCCTACTCTATTCTATTCCTACTCTACTCTACTCTACTCTACTCTACTCTACTCTACTCTTTTATACTCTATTCCACTAATTCTGTTCCTCCATATCTCTTCAATGTTAGCACCCCCTAATTCTCTAGCCATGTGGCCTCACTGGTGCAGGAGAACCCTGTTGGGAAGGACGCAAATCTCCAATGTGTTGGAGGGCCATTTGTACAAGATTACCCACCATGGAATTCCTGTATTCTTCCCTTGCTCTGTTGATTTCAAGGTCTGCTGAATGCGGCTTTTGAGACTTGAAGCATTTCTGCCCTGTTGCTTCTGTTCCTTGGATACAGGGTGTACTTGCTCTGAATTTGAACACTCTAAAAAATGGCACAGAGGACATTGCCGCTCGATCTGTTGCTGAACAACTTTCCCATCAACTTTGTCACCAGCCTTGATTTGTGGACAAGAAGGTTGGTCTCTAGACCAAGGGTGTCCAGCCTTGGCAATTTTAAGGACTTCAACTCTCAGGATTTCCCTGGGCTGGCTGTGGAATTTCTGGGAGTTGAAGTCCAGAGGTCTTCCAAGTGGCCAAGGTTGGACACCCCTGGGCTGGAACGAGAAGCTAACAGAAATCCATCGGCTTTGAGATACTCCTTCTCTTAAGTGTGCAATCAAGGGTTTTACCTGGATCTAAAAGCCTGGGATCTCCCAAACTCTGCAAGGAGAAAGCTTTTTCAGCAGTTCTCAAACACATCCGGCAAAATTCCCCCCCCCTCAAGTCTTAAAAACCTCATGATTGCATCACGATTTGAATGGGGATTCCCCCCCCCCATTATTTCCACTCGCTGCTTTTTATGCTGCATTTGAAATTTAATTTAATTTAATTTTTAAAACTTGGTCCTTCTTTTAGTCATCTCACGAAAGGGCTGCCCTTTAAAGGAAGGCAGGCAGCACCCTTCGGCCATCGATTCCCCCCCCCCCATCTCTTTTGTTTATGCTGCAGTCATAGGATCTGATAATCCCAGTAAGACCCAAGTGTCATAAAATTGCTTCACCTATTTGGAACAGAAGTAATGTTTGCTGAGCCAGCCTGCCCGCATTGCAGCATCTGTGATTTCAAGAGTCTTTTGTTTGCTCTCTCTCTCTCTCTCTCTCTCTCTCTCTCTCTCTCTCTCTCTCTCTCTCTCTCTCTGCAAAAAAAACCAAAAAAAACCCTATCCTGGACCCTGCCAAGATTAGTAGATCTGGTGCTGAGATGCTTCAGAGACTCAGGAACAAACAAAGTTAATGCCGGGCAATCAAAGCAGTTCCATAGTCCAGTCGGACGTGATTTTGTTGACTCTTCCCCTTGAGGCCAACTGGGCCAACTCGCTTCTCTAACCAGACTTGCTTCCCACCCACACCCTCCCCAGCTTGGTGAAATACTAATGGGCACAGGATGGATCGGTCCAGCTATCCTGTTCAGAGCACCTCAGTTGTCTGCCTCTCGTTTTGAAGGGAGAGACTGGTTTTTCTCGTCGTTCCGTCCTGCAAAGTTTTACACCCAGGCAGGAAAAATCCAAAGGCACAAGTACAGATTAGGGCGAAACCTGGCTCAAAAACAGTAACTGTGAGAAAGACCTTGGAGTCCTAGTGGACGATCACTTAAGGATGAGCCAGCCGTGTGTGGCAGCAGCCAAAAACAGCTAACCCAATCCTTGGTGGTATAAACAGAGGCATAGCATCAAGAATACGCGAAGTATTAGTACTGCTTTGCAAAGCCTTAGTAAGGCCACACCTGGAATATTGCATCCAGTTTTGGCCGTCAGATTACAAAAAAGATGTTGAGGCTTTGGAAAAAGTACAAAGAAGAGCAGCTAAGATGATTAAAGGAGACTAAAAGATACAAAGAACGGTTGCAGGAACTGGGTTTGGCTGGTCTAGAGAAAAGAAGAAATAGGAGTGACACGATAGCAGTGTTCCAGTATTTGAGGGGCTGCCATAAAGAAGAGGAGGGGGTCAACTTATTTTCCAAAGCACCAGAAAGCAAGACAAGAAACAACGGATGGAAACTAATCAAGGAGAGAAGCAACCTGGAATTAAGGAGAAACTTCCTAACAGTGAGGACAATCAACCAGTGGAAGGGCTTGCCTTCAGACGTTGTGGGTGCTCCATCACTGGAGGTTTCTAACAAAAGACTGGACAGCCACCTGTCTGGAATAGTATAGGGTTTCCTGCTTGAGCAGGGGGCCAGACTAGAA